TTATATTTTTTCACCCTTCTGATAACTCGCTTTGAGCAGGGAACATCACCCATGCGCAGAATTCTGTGAACTCCTTAAGAACCTTACACGGATAAAGATCTCTATGATGGGATCAACACTGAAGGCATTCTTTTATAACTCAATACAGTGCTGGAGACTAGAATCAGATGGTAAATTCCCTTTCTCAGTGTGTGGGCTCTTTTCCAGTCTGAACTGCTCTTCTACTCTCTGTCTTTTTAAAACGTTGTTTCTCTTCTGCTGCCTCACTCTTCTCTATCTGTCTGTCTGTCTGTCTGTCTGTCTGTCTGTCTGTCTGTTTGTCTGTCAGTCTGTCTGTCAGTCTGTCTGTCTGTCTAATGCAAACACACACACTCACAAACACCTCATATACCCCTGCAAAGCGTCATCTACCCTGTTTCTCTCTTTCTCTTTGGGACTCTGCTGAACATCAGATGTTTAAAAAAGTCTAAACAATCAGGTTAACGTATCAGACGTTAACTTCATTTTTTTCTCTCCTAGCTTTATTCGCCTTCTATCATCCCTCTCTCTGGTCACCTGCTCCTCTCCTTACTTTATTTTTAGAATTATACTTTCTTCCCGTTTAGTTCCAACCAAACTTTCTTCATCGTTCATTTCTCCCACATTTCAAGGAGGTAGACTAAGTGTAGATACAGATCCCTTTGCACCGTAGACACTGCACGACTTCCCTTTGTGTTTTAAGACTTTTCTTTCTGTTCCAAAAGGTTTCCGTAATTACGCGCGAAATCCGATTGTGACAGCTTGGGAAACCAATCCGATTTTAATACTTGTCTCAAAACAGGATCTCCTTCTGTTACTGTGAAGCGGCACCACGAAAGACAACAGCAACAACAACAACAACAAAAAATGACAGAAATTCCCTGTAGCAATCTAGGTTTACAGCATAATGGGTTCTCTTAAAGGAAACCTAGATATGAATTTTTCAGAGGGAAAAAGTAAAAGCAAGTCATATCCTTCCAGAAAAGGGAGAAAGAACTCGTGTTACAGGGAACAGCTGAAAATTAGCCCACATAGACCGCCAGCGAGACAGAAAAGTGATCCATCTTGGGAAACAAAAGCTTACGAGAACTGCGTGGCAGATAGCAAAACAGGAGCCAGTAGAAAACTGCTCAGCTCTTGCAGACGTTGAAGCTTTAGAAATTTCACCAGACTCGACAGAAACCATTTGTCGAGAGGCAAGAAAACAGAGCTCTCCTACTGTCTTTTCTTCATTCTTTTTCTTTCTTGTCTTCTCTTTTTCCGTCGCTCTGTTCAACGGTTTGTTTCTCTCTCTCTCTCTCTCTCTCTCTCTCTCT